ACAAATTGCCAGGCAGGGAGGTTGGAGCTAGATGATCTTTAAGGTCCCTTCCACCCCTAACCAGTCAGTGGTCCTATGATAACTGTGTTCTATAACCTGTACCCATAGAGCCACAAATTGAATTTTTTCCTTCAATTGAAGCAAAACCTTAACTGGCAGCTCACACTGACAGGCTGCAGTACAGCTGCCAGCTCCAGCACTTGCAGATAAAACAGTCAGAGGCCACAGTGTTTTTGGCTAAGTCACAGGACAGAATGATAATGACTATATTCTGAGGGGGTCCCATTTCTCTTTTTGGTTGTGTCCTCTATCTGTATTTCAAGCCATTGATGGGCTACAACCATGTCAATTCATTAACAAATTTTGTCAGCTCTTTCCTTTGGCACTAGAAATGGGTTGTTTCCATGCTGAATTAATCCAGTTGGAGTGTCACTTACACACCAATCAGCTTTCCCATTCAGAAAGGTCAGATGGAAGAGAGAACTATTTTATTTCTTTTTTAACCAAAAAAGAATATAAGGGGGTTTTGAACACAAAAGCCTCATTGGAACAGGTCACATTAGTCCTATGCATGAAGGTATCTATTGCCTGCTTTTCTGACCAAGGGAGTATTACTGGAACCTCCTCTGTCCTGCAGCTAAGCTTTCCCAGTGACCTCTGATACTGGGCCAGTAGATCCCAACACATCCCTGGTGCTGTGTCTCCATGTAGAAGTGGCAAAGCTGCAAGAGGGACAGTCAGAGATGCTCTAAACTTCTGGAGATCTCAGGAATGTAAAGGATATGATGGAGATTCATACTAATGCCTGGGATGAATTTTGCTTCCTGGTAAAACAAGAATTTTTACTGGGGGAATAAAAGGCAGTCGTGTCATTTCATATATTCCCTTTTTTATGTTGCTTTGTTAAAAGCTGTGTTAGAAACCTGATGAAAAAGAGCATAGAGTCACAGGGAAATGACTACTGAGCTCCACATCTCTCAAATACTTCAGTTCCTTCTTTCCATTTTCACACTTCCCTGGACGCTGCCAAAGGTTCTTTGGCCACAACCACCCTGGTAACTCCCTCCCTGCTCCCTCTGCAAAGCTGGGCAACAAAGTGCCACCAGAAGCAAACTGTCCTCAGGACAAAGCCATCCTACCTCCACACTTGCCCTCACATGCTTTCAACTTCTCTCAACTTTTTGTCTCTATCTGCCACAAACTCAGGTATGACAAGAGTCAGCATCGAGGAAGGTCTCTTAACATCTGCTCAGAGTTAGATTCCTTTGACATTTATCATTATGACCTTTGTTAGCAAATCATTTAAGCATGAAATTAATTCTGAAAACACACAATTCCACTGACTTTACCTGGATTGCTCATGTGTTTAAAGTTAGAAGAACACTTAAGTACCTTGCTGCACACAGACCTAGTTCTGACAGAGAGTAAAATGTTTCCAGTTGCAGAAAAAACACCAGTAGTCACATACTGTTCTACTCCCCACTCAAGATTTAATCTTCCAGGGGTTTTGTTTCCTTCACATGATAACAAGGCTGCTTTCTTCTCAGCCCCACACGCTGCAATCAGCCTTGAAGGGATTTCTATGTGCATATATTGCTGTCCCTTGCACCAGAGCAAAGCACCAGTATTGTTGATGTCACACACCCCAGCACAGCCTGCTGCTCCAGAGGGAGCTTTATTGTGCAGCTGATCTGATTGATTTGCTGATTCTGGACTTCTCTCCATCTGACAAGTGTTTCTAAAACATTTAAGGCACTGCAGAACTCAGGGTTCTCCAGAGTGCAATCATATTTTGCAGCTAAATCATAGGAAGAAATGTACTTCCAACAGAAGTTCACTAGCAGGTTGTCTACGATTGACAGATTGGATTCATGGCAAATCATTTTGCTTTTGCAATAACAAGTGTGTGAGGCCTGAAAATTAATCATTAACGTATTTAATGAATACGTACCAAAGAAAACTTAACAGCTGGAAACCATAGAGGAGATTTTTAAATCCTAAACTGTGAAGTTAGGTAGGGGTAACTCCTCCAGAACTAACTTACAACATCTTGCCCAATTCGTATGAACACATCTTGCTGAGTCTAAAGATCAGAAAACACCAAACTGACATTAAATATTTCCATAGATAACAGATGGTTTAACACATCAGTCCCCACTTGGGGTTGCCTAATGCATCTGAATCATGTTTTGAAATATAACTCAAGGATTGGAAAATCTCTAAGGTTTTCAAGAAATGGAGTTTAATGTCAAGACTACTCAAAGCAGCTGTTTCTACTAACCACAGAAAATCACATCCAGTTTTTTTTGCATGATCCAATGCAGAAATTATGTAATGTAGGGGTCCTATCCACACACATACCCACTCCCCCCCCCCTCCCCCGTTCTCCAAGCAATAACGTGCTTTACATGAAGCTGCAGTAAAATAACAGCACACACATCAGAGCTTCAAATGTGTTGTCACTTAGTACTCCAGAAAAGATGTTTGTGTTTAGTGCTGTACTTCTACCTATGGCATGGGACTGAATGGCTACTCCAATGCTCAGCATTGATGCTTTCAAGATATCTGAGCTGCACCTTTCTTGCCAACATCAGGAAGATGATGCAGACCAGAGGAGACAGGCTCTGTATGCACATCTGCTGGTCTTCCCTGCAGCCCTGGAGACCCATGGGCAGGAAACATCACTCCTATCTCCAGGTATGCAATGACCTTCTCACACCTCTGCAGTCCATAGGTCCAAGCTGGCCTGTAGCCACTAGCTGTCATTCCCCATCCTCTTCTCTGCAGAAATGCATTCCCTCATTTCTCTCTGGGACACTCTTTTTCACTCCATGAACCTGCAGGGCCCCCTGGAAGCAGCAGGACATCCGTGCTGCATGCTCCCTGCCCAACACCAGCACCACAGGCAGAAAAAATGCAACCACCTATTTGCACAGACAAGCAGAGAGGCCTAGAGGTTGCCTGCCCTGGGGAGCACACACCAGTTGTGCAGCTGCTCTGCTGAGTTACCTACAGGAGCAGGTAACACACAGACCTACACGCACACCCACCGTGGCAACTTGCAACACTCAGACCATTCTTTCTTCTGAAGATCAAAGTCAGTAACACGGGAGAAAAGGGAGAAATGATTTTGCAAAACCATGACCAACTGTTTCTGCTTTGGGATCTCTGAGCTGCCTCGTGTGCTGCAAATCCCAAACACAAGCAAGGCTGATCGTAGAGCTTTACAGACACCTAGAATCTCCTGCTAAGATGAGGAACCTCATATTCTTAACACCAGACACAGCTTTTCTGGAATGCAAATCTGCTGGTGGACACCCCACCACAGAGATAGATAAAGTAAAAAATAATAATTGATAAATATTGTGTTTCTTAAGCAGCAGATCTCGACATCTCCAAATCTGGACTCTCAGACAGATGCTCATAGAGTTAATTTACTGCACTTCCACATGCTGCTTCTAGAAGAGATGGAGATTGCATCTTACACTTCTCTAAACCTGACTTTATTACAGGTACAAGAGAGTTTGGTATGTTCAGCAAGGCCTGTATTAGCAGTTTTATGTTCTTTTAATCGCTGACATGGAATGTAAATAGTTTCCTCAATTGCTGCATACTTCCCATTCCTGAAGGAAGGCACACCCTTTGACAAAGATTTGGAGAATATAAAGTTAAATCCCTGTTTACTAAAGGAATTAAGTCCTCCTCTAGTTACTGAAACAGAGCAACCTATGCTTGGGAGATCTACATACCCTTCAAGGACAGGAAATTAACAACTATGGAGCACTCAAAATAATGTCAAGAAAGCTCAAGATTTGGACCTGACATTGAATAACAAAGTGAACTGGATTTTGTCAGAGCTGCATGATGTCAGGGTTCATCCAAAAGACTGCAAATAAAGAGTGTTGTGTGTTATTTTACTACAGAGGACTGCAGAAGTGCTCCACGGTTTTCCATTGACATTGTCCATCACCAGCCTTGGGGCACCTGGACTCCCTTGGACATTTGCTTCCACATGCACATTCCTTCCCTTTAACACATAAAAACGTACTGCTTATATCTATGGTCTCTCTATTACAGTAAAAAAATTACCTCTGCTGCTTTTATTTCACAGCAGGGGAATCTACAGGCCAGATAGAGCCTTGCTAACATTGATAAAAGGTTTCCCCTAGGCTGAAAGTGGTCTCTGTTTTCCTCTGACAAGCAGCATCTAGTCATCCTGATCTGGGTTGCCACAAATTATCCTAGAGATGATCTTAGAGGAAACTTGGTTGAACAGCTGAGAGGGTAGATTAAGACTTTGATGACTTTGGTTCTGCTTGTCATGGACTTTATTTCTGTGTGGTTCTCTGTAAAAAAATCTGCTGGGTTTCTGCCCATGGGGCCATCTCTCCAGCAGCCCCTGGCACCCCCCTCTGAAAGCTCATGGACACGAGTGGAAGTTGTCAAGAGCACGTGGAAGAATATACAGAGTTTATAGCCCACAAACAAGGAATCAAGCTCAGCTTTGGTCATGGGCCTCCTGAACAGCACGAATGTCCCATCACCAGTCCCTTGCCAGCAATCCCAGTGAACTCCTGATTAAAAGTCCATGAGATGTTAAGCCCAAGTGCTTGACTCATCTCCCTGAGCAGAGGCCAACAGCCACTGCACGGAGGCAACCATGGTCACAGGCAACTTCAGGAGGGTTGAGTCCTCCAAAAACAGTTCCAAATACTGCAGGATTTTCCACACCACTGTGTGGCTTGCCACAGGAAAGGAGGACAAGCCCAAATCAGAGACAAATCATGCTCAATGGGAAAACACTGAGAGGCAGCATGTCCATTTTCAGTCCCACATGAATGAAGACAATCGTAGAGGTTCTTGCTCTATAAGCAATGAGAAAATGCACACAACCCAAACTGGAACAAAACCCTCTTGTTAGGGGCCTGTTCAATTTTAAAATTATAACCCTTCTTTGAGAACCCCCCCATACAAAGGGAACATGCAACAAGAGTACTCACTCGTTCCTCTCCAGATTGATGACTAGATGTTTGCCTTCAGCTTCTATTACAAACTGCAGCAGTGCTGGGTGACTCTGAAAAAGGAAAACAGAGTTGTCTGAGTCCAACCCCAGACAGACCCCATCACCAAACTCAGCCCTGGTATGCCAAGAAGCTGGACACTCGTCTGCCATTGCAGGGTCAGGCCCTGCTTGGGAGGAGCAAACAGGAAGGAAAGAAATGTACCATGAAATTAAATGAAACAAAGGGAAACGTTTGTGGTGTCATAGCTTTGTAGTCACAGCTCAGTGTGAACAAGCCTGGAGAGGCAGCATGAAGCTGCAGGATTTCACACCCAGCTTTTCTGGACACCGTGGTGCTCCCTAAAGCAGTTAATTGCACCACTTGCAACTCTGCACATCAGAGACCATCCTGCCTGGGAAGAGGAGCAGCGTGGTGCAGCACCCATCAATTCCAGGAGACATCTGATACACTTTTGACTTTTCTCTTTTTCTTCTCCATAGAAGAGCATAACTACATGAAGCACTGATAGAATCTCTTACTATTGCTCAGCCTTGCTGTACTGTATTTCCAAGAGAGGCACAAATAATGGGCTTTGCATGACCTTTGTCAGCTCAGGATCCCCATGTCCAAAGCTGGTACCTCCACCACTAAGAGCAGACCTGCAGTGCTGGGATCAGGGATACAGAAAGGCTTTTTCCCTTCAGGCTGAGCATGCTAAATATTCTCATGTAGAGCTGTAAATGTGATCTAAGACCATCACGGAAGCTCAACATTTAGTACAGTCACGCGGAACAATAAATATGTATTTTAAAGTTTTCATAAGGAATAATGAGGGTCTAGCTTAAAAAAAAAAAAGGTGTTGGAGCAATTGGAAATATGGTCAACAATATTATCAAACATCTCTGTCAGAACAATAGGCAAAGTATCTCTACATATACAAGTATTCATAGAATCATAGAACTGTAGATTGGGTTGGGTTGGAAGGGCTCTTAAAGATCACCCAGTCCCACCCCCTGCATGGGACACCTCCCACCAGCCCAGGTTGCTCCAAGCCCCATCCAACCTGCCCTTCAACACTGCCAGGAATGGGGCAGCCACAGCTTCCCTGGGCAACCTGGGCCAGGGTCTCACCACCCTGAAACTGAAGAATTTCCTCCTAATGTCTAAACAAGACACCAACACACAGAAATCCCAGTTGCACTTCAGCACTGAGCAGGGATCAAGCCATCTGGATTGCATTTTCAGCACCACCATGACTGTGTGCAACCTTCACTAAGCCATTCCCCTGATTATACAACAAGTTCTTTTTTTTTCATCTCAAGCATCTGAACATAAATCCACTTTTCCTTTTGGTAGCTTCGAAAGAGCATCAGAAAGGTCTGGTGATCCATGTGCCCTCTCAGAGGCAGGAGGCTCAAACACTTGTTTGCAGAAAGGGGCCAAGCACCTACACAGCCTCTTGAAACTGTCCTTCAAATGAGTTAACACTATGCTAGCTACTCTTAATCCAAAAGCCTAAACTCACATATATTTTAAGACTGTTTACACTTAACTTACACTTCATTAAACAAACTTACTGGATTGCGAGACAGTATTTCCTTGTTTTGAAATTCCAGCAGTAGCTTGATAAATCAGTTGTTCCTCAGTACAATCCATCTGCTTTTCTGAGGATTTTCCCCCTCCAATTGCAGCACCAAGGCAGGACAATTTGAGGGTTACAGCATTTAACTGATTTGTTGAGAAATGGGTTGGAATTTGCCACTGCTGCAGCAGTGCCTGGATGGGGCCCGAGCACCCCCAGCCCACGCCCTGCCATGATTTTTAGGTGGCTTGGAAAATTGTAGATGTGGAATAAAAAGTGAAATTAGGAGCAGGCTGTCCTAGACTAAACAAAATTGTAATTTGGTTACCAAAAAGGAAAAAAAAAAACTGACAACTCCCCAGTGCTCTCAGGCATTATTAAGCCCAGATTGTGACTGAGATACTGTTGTTTTCTCCTAAATGTCCTGCCCCACTGCTCATGCAAATTCAAACATGTTTTCCCTCTCTCCTCAAAAAACAGCAACAATATTGAAATTCTGCTTCTAGGTGAACTTTGCAGAAACTAGATCCCACTAGAATGCTAAATAAATGCTTCAGACTATCCTTGGCATCCAGCAAATACATGGGAGTAATTTATTAGCAAGAAGGAGCATTGATTACCACTTTAATATTAGTGCACTGGATCCAAACCCTGTAAGATATCCATACTGTAGAGTTTTGAGAGAGTAAAATACAATTAATTCAATATAACACAGTAAATAATTGATATTCCTGTAACACAAATAGATTCCTTTCAGCTAAAGGACCTCTGTTAATATGTAAATGTAACTATGTTTATTCATGAGCTCACAGTGCTGCTTATTTGACAGTCAATTGATGTTAGCAAGTCGCAAAGTTAAAAAAGCAGCTGCAGAATAAAATACTATGTGACAAGACCAAAACATCTCTCAGAGAATTCCTAAAGCTGAAACTTCTTGTTATCAAGCATGATAATGTCCTCAGCTTCAGGTGCTGGACCCAGGTTCAGATTCTCTTGCTTTACATTCATTTTTTTCCTTCAAACAAATGGCTTGTTTGCTGAGAAGAGTCACCATGGTCTCATGGTTTTAAACTGAAAGAGGAGAGATTTAGATTAGACATGAGAAAGAAATTCTTTCCTTGGAGGGTAGGAAGGTGCTGGAACAGATTGTTCAGGGAGATTTTTGATGCCCCCTCCCTAGAAGTGTTCAAGGTCAGGCTGGATGAGGCTTGTGCAGCCTGGGCTGGTGGGAGGTGTCCCTGCTCATGCAGGGGGTTGGAACTGGATGAGCTTTAAGGTCCCTTCCAAGACAAACTGTGCTATGATTCTATGACTGGCAGTCTTAAGCATAAATACAGCAGAAATGACAGAATGTTCAGGTGAAACAGTGATTAGAAACACATAAACACTTAAAATGATACATATCTAGTGTGAAAGAAAAATAAAGATACTTCAGAAAGGTATTTCCTCCCTGCCCCCACCTCTTTTTTTTTTAATCTACTTGTGAAATGAACTCATTTTATTTTTTTTTTCCTAGTGGTGGCAGAGCCTCCCACAAAGTATTTGCACCGTTCTGCTGCAAGACCTTAAAAGCTCATTTTGAATCTGATGAAGCACCATCACACTTCTCCCTTGCAATCGAGATTTCCAAACCGGAGTTGCGAGATGAAATGGGAATGACCACAAGCACAGACATTAGATCCCTGCTTTATGTTTTCTGTTTAAAAGAATCCAAAAAGCACATTGTGAGGGCACACACTCTTCTGTTCATAACATTTCAGAAAGCACCACTTGTTATCAGCTTAAGAACCACGAAAATAATTTCCATGCTGATATCACACCCTATTCCCACATCAACCCCTGGAAAATTACCAAATGATATAGAGTGAATCTTATAAGAGCAGCATCATTTAAACCATAATACATAATTTTGCATGGTTTTTCCTTCTTTCTCTACAGGCTTATATTTTCTAGTTCTTTCTCCTTTTGCCTTTTTCTTTTTGGCAATGATTTTTTGTGGCATGAGAAGGTGTCACCACCGCACACAAACTGTTCCCTGAAATCCTAAGAGGCAGAACTGACTTCAGGATGGCTGAGCTATAACTCTCCACTACTTTCCCCTCCCATGCACAGGATTTCATTTCAGAGCCTACAGCAAATTGTATCCTCAGAAAAGGAAAAGTGTTTCCCCCTTGCTCCTTGCTTGTTTGCTCACTGAGGGATGTTGGTTTGAATCTGCCTTAGTAAAGCACAATATTCTGAAGGAAATTAGTGGAACAATAAGTTAAGGCCCAGCAAGAATTCCCTCTGGGAAAGCAGACTAAAAAATGAATAAATCATTGCTTGGACAGCTGGGAGCTGGGGAGACAGTAGCTTGTTTCTGAGTAAGAGAAGTTCTCTTGTTTTCTCACAATTTATTACAATCACTATGCACCAGTAAAACTAGGCTAACTTGGACATGGTTTTAGATACTATATTCTCCCCCAGTTTAAATCACATTGATCTCCAGATCTTCCTAGAGAAGGAGAAAAGAAATAGGGTTTGGGCATTAAGACTTTCCCCTGGGAAGCTGGAGATGGTGTTAGGAGCTCAGCTCTACCACAGCCTTGTGTCTTGGCTGGGACAAACCACATTTCATCGTGGGAACCTACAACCTCCAGTAGTTGTGACTGAGCATCTTTTTCAGCACAGTAATATAGGAAAAAAAGCCTTAACCATTGCTGGATCATCTCTTCCCTTGGGCTGTGGAGCTGGGATGCGTTGCTGACTGCTGAGATTGGGGCAGAATACTTCAAGTCACTTCTTATTACATTTGAAGAGACAGAAAACAGATGAAGTGGGCAGTCCTAATGCATGGATCTTTGCAGCTTCCTCTCTAGAAAAGAGAAAGGATCCTAGTGGACTGGGATACAAAAGTTAGAACAGCATGTGCAACCTAAATAAAAAATATTCTAGCAATTGCCTAAGAGAAATAAAATATCTGTAGACAAGGGGAAGAGTGTAAATAAACTCAAACAAGCAGCATTCATTCATTTGGAAAGAGAAATGCATTTTCAGCTGTATTAGATATCCAAATCCAGTATTTGACACTAGGGATCAGCACAAGAAATAGAACCAAAAGGGATAATTTTGCTTCTCTGGTTTCAAAGTTTTAAATTATACCCTCCCACGGCAGACTGAAATAGGCAGCTTTGTTTAATCCAACAAAGAGGCTTCCAGTCCCTTCAGGGCTGCTATTAACTTCACCAGAGCCAACCTTGCAACAAGGTCAATTTTGCATGTGCTGTCAAGTTGACCTGCACCCAGGAGGAGCCTGTCACATGCCAGGCCACAACTGGCACAACATGTCCTACCAGGTCACTTGTGGGACACTCCTAGTCTAAAATGGGTCCAAACTGGCAAGATGGTAAGGAAAAAAATAATTATAAGGAGAACTATGGATTGCAATCAGTTGTATGCAACAAGGCTGCTGAGATTCAACATTGAGCAAAACCCAGACTTCAACTGTGC